CTAAACCTTAAACCCTAGAGCCTTAAGTATGCCCTAAACACCAAAGCCAAAAAAGCCCTAAGCTTTAAACCCTAAAGCCTTAAACCCTAAAATCTCAAGCCCTGAGCCCTTAACCCCTAAAGCCCTGTTCCTTTGGTTTAGTACTACTGTAGTCTTGGCTCTATTAAAACTCATACAATCCCTAGGCCCCCCCTAATGTTTTTAATTAACTTTCAATTGTGGGCCCGAAACCGCGAAATCCCGGGGCCGGCAGTTTTATTATTAGAGGGGTGTTTAGTAATAGGGGGAAGCGATTGGCAGTACAAGCAGAAGTAGAAGTGATAATGCTATTAGTAGTAGTAGTAGTAGTAGTAGTAGTAGTAGCAGCAGTAGTGGTTGTAGTGGTAGTGGTGGTAGTAGTAAATATCAGTAGTAAATTATATAAGAACAATAATCATCGCAGTAGTGTGGTATACAGTACACAGCAAAGAAATGTGGTTAGTGTGGGACGCGAGGTGCCCGCGCGGCCTACGCGAAAGGATCCGCCAACCGCCGCTGTATATTCCTGCGTCAGCACATGAGAAATCGCCGGCTGCCACCGTGGAGAGGCGTCTCTGAAGACTGCCAGCACTTTGCGGGGACGCATCTCATGCAGTTCCCGAGACGCGCGCAGAAGCTTCTGCAAACGACCACTGTGGTGAGGTGTCGCGATATGGGGGAAGCAATGCCCCAATCACGCCAGCACATTGGGGGAAGCATTTCCCGAGGCGCATGCGGAAGCCTCCAAAAATCTTCGTAGTCCAAAAATGGTCTGTGGGCGGTCTGTTTCGGGTTCTACCTGGGCTAATTTGTTCAGCATCCGTATCTCCTTGTGGTCTAATGGGTCTCTGGTCCTGGCTCCGGGGTGTCCTCTGGGATATTAGCTAAAAGCGGTCTCTGGCAAGAGTCTCTGGGCGGTCTATTTGGGGATCTACCTTGGCATAACTCCAGGATCCGTGTTACACTACCCGAACACTGGTTGAAGTATAAGGCGAGTATGCAGGCACATACACAAACACGTAACGGATATCAATTGAGCTTAGCAGCTCAAGAGTGCTTGTGATTGATACATGAGGAAGAAGCTGTCATACATGCGTTCGACAACTATGCTGACAATATTACCTGATGTTAGTTGTAAGCGGGATTGGTGTTATCCCAAAACATGCTTTATTGACGGTGTTGGCTTTCCATCAGAAGATGCATTGCTGCTCAACATGCAATACAATTCTTGACGCACAAAGAGAAGCTACTATGGAATTGAACATCCGAATTTGGTGCCGCACATGTCCGTCACAACCTACACAGACAAATACAAATGGTTGACCCCCGACATCATCAGTGTTTGCAGTATTGCCGGCCTATGCTGGCAAGAACTTAGTTCTCCGCTCTGCAAGAGCAAGGCCTAGACCATCTCTGTGAGAACTTGTCTTAAGATCGTACTCGTGAGCATGTGTGTCTGTAGTTCCCCACATGTAGGGTCCTCGAAGTAAGCCATTCTCATATTCACAGACCACGACAGCCCCCTCAACAGTTTCACATACACACGCGGACAGCGTGCATACATACGTACATACATACATACATACATACATACATACATACATACATACATACATACACACATACATACATAATGATACATACATACATACATACATACATACATACATACATACATACGTACCTACATACATACATACATACATACATACATACATACAGTCAAGTTTTATCAGCATGACCAACATAAACCGAAACACAGACCTCAAATTTGCCTTGCGAAGAAACACCGTAGGCTGCTTCACTGAAACGTCACCACCCGTGCCATGCCGGAGACACTAGATGTACGTGCGACATCTCGAAGCCGTGTTAACTTTAGCAAGAACTGAATTAGTCAGATGCTCAACTGGCCAAAGCGGCTCGCTTGCCAAGTGTGGAGGCAGCAACGAAGTGGTGTGCCGCCAGCTGCGCCAGTGGCATGCCGAGCTCAGTTGCACGAAACCGTGTCGAAAGGTGGCTGAATTGGATTTCGGCAGGACCGCCTTGCACCGTCCTACATAAGTTTGAGAACTAGGTTTCCACGCTGTAAAGGACTTTCGTCTCAGGATGCTGCTGCACGCATCATCGGCATGACGAACGCCATAGCCTCAATGCGACAGCGTCCCATCAGTCCCATCAGCCTTGCAGCCTTCGGCAAGGACATGTAAACACGATTACGATGCTCAGAGCTCAGCCAGTCCTCCAAAGAAGTGTATAGCCGAGGCCTCCAGATACTTGATCAGATTGTGAAACGACAGGGCGCTTTGGATATTAAGATCAAAACTACCACTAGCACTGCTACGACGACGACGACGACCACGACTACTACCACTACCACGGTAGCAGTAGTACTATTAGTACTAGAACGTTACTAGAACTACTAGTATTGGTACTAGTAGTAGTACTAGTACTTATGCCGTGACTATCTGGATAACAACAGCAGTTTTGACAGTCCAGCAGCCTTTCCATCTCACATCCACTTCAAGGGCCCTTCATGTCAACCGAGATTTTTTGCAGTGCAGCGAACTGAGGAATCCTGCAGCAGCGACTAGGACCAGTACTTTTACTCCAGATGCGACAGTATCCTATCGCCACAAGTGCTGCTGTGACGAATAATACCACCACCACCGCCACTTCTCCCAGCCCATTTCCCTTTCTCGAAAAACTCTTTCGCCTGCAAGCCCAACATCCGGAACTCTCGAAACACCTGGTCACTCACCGGTATGTCAACTGAGCTGATGAAAGTATGTGCAAGCACCTGGGCTTGTAGCAGCAGGCTTTCTCGCAACTGTCCCGCGAAAGAATGAACATGAGACTGTACTCACATCGTCCAACTTCTTTCTCCAACCTTACTACATGCACAGGGGCCTTCAGCAGACGGTGCGGAGCCTTTCCCCTGGGCACGTGGGCCTGGCACCGGGAGGGCTTTCAGGATTGAAGGTAAGGGCTCGAGGAGGGCAGAGAGTGTATGGCTCAAGGCTCCACCTGAGAACATTTCTGTGAGGCCTTCAAGCAAGTTGACCTTGGACCATCATGCTCTAGGCGACTAAACATCATCAGCCCACCAACATCCTGATTCACACTGAACACCGCAGCTACAGTGCTACAGATCTTACAACTACACATGCTGGCTGAACTTTGCAAAAATATAGGCAGTAGTACACAGCGGTATATTGCTTATTCTAGTTCCCGGGGTCTCAAAGTAACATAGTCGTGAACCAGACGTAAAGGACAACCCTGACACGGTCTTTATGAATTGTAGCAGTGTCCCAGATCATGGGCAGTTGTTGTCATAGTCATCACCATCACCACCACAGGCAGGATCATCACCATCAAGAGCAAAGACAGCATTCAACATAATCATCACCATCATCATCGTCATCATGGTTATCATCATGGCATTCGTACTCATATTAATGTTCATACTCTTCACCACAATCCTTGTCACCATCATAACCAACATAATCGTCACTGTCATCCACAACATCATATTCATCATCATCATCATCACCATCACCGTCATTATCACCAACATCATCGACATTACCATCGTCAACAACAGCAACAATGACAATAACAACAACCACACCACCAGCACCACCAACACCACCAGCACCACCACCACCACCACCACCACCACCACCACGACCACCACCACCACCACCACCTCCACCACCACCACCACCACCACCACCAGCAACAGCAACAGCAACAGCAACAGCAACAGCAACAGCAACAGCAACAGCAACAGCAACAGCAACAGCAACAGCAACAACTACTAGTACAGCAGCAACAACTACGGCAGCAGCAACTGT